ATCCAATTGCTGAGCTCTGGGTTAGGCTGGATGGAGACGTACTCCCTTGAGGGGAGACAGACCTGGATAGTGCCCCTCTGCCAGAAAAAAAAGTCTGAGTTTTTGTTTTGTTTGGTATTTTTAACCATTGACTGTTTAATATAAAATGAATAAACCACCCTAGCATCAGGGTCAGAATTTTGGATTTCCCCCATCCACGGGGAAGGTTTGCCTTACTAAGCCAAATTCACACTTCAGCAGGCATAGCCTCTAATAGACAATGCTCTCTTTTTAGCTAAAAAGCCTGCTGCATCTTTAGGATGATAGTAGAAATGGAAAGATTCACCTGATGGGAACTCAAAGCTGTTTATCCATCAATTCTAACACTAAGAGGTCATGCCAAACCTAATGGCAGCTTTAAACTCTTTGCTGGGCTCAGCTAATGACCTCCAAAGGATGCAAGGGAGCCCCTCTGCTGTAGGCACTCAGTATAATGCCTCTTTCAGAAAGCATAACATCATTTGGGCCCCTGTAAGCAATACTGCCCTAAAGAAATTACTCTAATTAGAAAGATTAAGACAGAGAATAAAGAAATTACTCTAATTAGAAAGATTAAGACAGAGAACAAAGACCCATGCTGTTTGTAAGAGTATCCCCAAAGCAAATGAACCTAAGGGCTAAGTGTCTGTATAGCTTTCTTTTCGTGGCATGCTGAAGGTTGAAAGCAGCCTGCTTAGAATGAAGAGGAATGCACTGTAATTCGTATATGGGTACAGAAAGCTTCATTCACAAAAGGGATGCATCTTCATTTTTATGTGTTCAGGCTCTGCCATGGATTTTGATAACACCGCTTCAAAAGTACCAACTCTTTTTCTATTTGGAAAGATGAGTGCTATTGTCACACTTGTCAACAGCAACAGGCTGTTATTGTTGTCAAGATAGTTGGGCAGATGGGAAAGGAGAGAAAGGGACAACGGTTCTAATGGAAGTTCAGAACCGATAATACAATGCCATTGTGTGAAAGGCACTTTGGTTTCATCCCCTGCCTATTTGCTTTCCTTATCATTCCCTGAACTTGCCCCCGGTGCAGTTAGCCTCTCTTTGTAAGCAGCATGTTACACGCATGCACATCAGATGACATAATGCAATAGATGTTTGCTGTCCCCAACCCCTCCCTGTCCCCGCTAGTAAAACACTTAGACCGGTCTCCATTGTGATGCGTTATTACTTCCCACTGTCATTTTTTTAATATCCAAGTCATAGCTTCAAATCACATTTTGTGTGATAAGAGGCCAGTAATTGTGAACACAAAGGAAGGGGAAAAATCCACAAGAGCTATCAGATTGAAAGGGAAAAAAAATATATTAGTCAGAGATGTATTTCCAAAGCATTTTATGTCAGTGAATTGGTTCCTGATAACAGGTGTGTGAAAGCAATCTAGCACTTACAGTCTTGACCTGGGACTTGAGGACGTGCCAATATGGTGTCACTGGTGTGTCCCTGGTAAGATGGGGCCAAACATTGCATCCACGCCCAATGCACCTGAGTCCACTGAGATGATCCATTCCTGGAAGTTTACTCATGAGGCTGGTTTAAGCTTGTCTCCATCATTGATCCGTAGGCCTCCGCGGTGACTGGGGACTACAGAGCAAGCACTGGGGGTAAGTCAAGAACAGCTGAATTAGAAATATTATGCCTATGAAGCATGTCAGCAGACTTGGATGGGCAGGGTGCGCTTGCACCCCTATTCCCCAACACTGGCCACTGCCAAGTTGTAGGCGTAGGAGTCCTGAGTTCTAATTTCATTTCGTCAGCTCTGTGATCATAGCAAATCTCTGTGACTGTTTCCCTTAGACTGTCTTATCTTTTTTTACTTTCAGGATATCTCTGGCAGAAACTATCCTGGTAGGGCTTGTACAGTGCCTAGAACAATCTGGCTTGGATTCCTATTGCAGCCTACTGATGATACTTTTACTGAAATAACAGGAATGGGGACTGTGTTCTCTGCCCTTCAAATGACCTTCAAGGACTTGTCACTGTGACTTTTATTTTAAAGAGATCCCAGATTGCTTTTCTGACTTTGATATATTTTTGTTAATACAGGCACTCCTTGACTTACAACATTTCATGTTACTATGTTTATCAATTGACACCCAGTTTTGACTTTACAACACTTGATCTTATGCGATGCCACACCAGCGAACAAGTTCACTGCGTCACCCATGTCCCTGGAGAACATCTGTCCAAATTGCCTTGGACACTTTCTTTAAGAAAGCAGACAAGACTCCAGAAAAAAACTGCAGCCAAGACTCCTGAGAAGACTCTAGCCAAGAGCCCTCCAAAAAGTACAACCAAGAGGCCTTCAAAAAGTCCAGCAGAGTCACCTCAAAGAAGTTCTTCCAAATCAATATGATTTCTATTTACAATATAAATGCAACAATGTAGCTATATTATTCATAGACATTAGGGATGGAAGGCACCTCGGAAGATAATTGAGTCCAGCACCCATTCATCTATAATCGATTGATTACAACATTCTGGGTTATTTTTGGTGAAAATAGGGTATTGGACCTTGGTTCAGGAACCAATCCCCATTTATAACATTGTTTCCTATGGGAAAAATGGTTCTGAGTTACAACATTTTGACTTAAGACACAGTTTTCAGGAACCAATTATATTGTAAGTCCGAGGACTGCCTCTACACTTTCTTTGATAGCACCAATTTTGCTGGACTGGACATTGTATGTGGACGCTTGACTCAACTCCAAAAATAAGGGCTCTATTCCCAGTTTAGTTACAGCCTGGGATCTCTTGGTGGCCAGAGAAAACATGGCAAGGACACATCAAAGGCATACCTGAAGAAAACAGACACCAATCTCAAGAGCTGACAGGAGCTGGGTGCTAACTTACTGTCTAGCAGTGGCCAAAGGAAATGCTACAAGGACCCACTGAGAGCGTACAACAACAAAAAAAAAACAGATGCTGACATCAAGAACTAGAAGAAGCTGGCTGCTAACTGACTCCAATTTGAAGCAACCTCAGCCAAGCAGCCCCTTTGAGATAAAGCATCTTGCTCTTGAAGCAGAGAAGAGAAACCAGAGGAAGAAAAAGGAGAGAAACCCCCGGGTGTAGCCTACAGGTACATTCCAAACCAGTTTTTATTTCTGTCCAGAGTAATCTCACTGACTTCACTCTACATGTAGTAGGTTTAAGTCAGAAGCATGTTTGGCCCTCATTTTAGATGGTAAGGCATGCAACATCCAGGGGTGCCCAACCTGCAGCTCCAGAGCCACCTCCGGGTATAACATCCAGGGGTGGTCAAACATACAGTTTTTCAGAAGTTAATATGCGTCTCCTTGAATCTATGCACAAGCACACGGTGATCAGCTTCCATAACCATTATGTCATATCGTGTGCTTGTGCAAAGTTTCAAGGAGATGCATATTAACTTCTGAAGAGCCACATGTGGCTCCGGAGCTGCAGGTTGGCCACCCCGGTGAATGTGAGCCTAGGCAGTGGTCTCTAACTGTGTTGAACTGTAAACTTAGAGTCTCTCCCTGGTCTCACAGAAAATGCTCACTCATCTTTGAGGTCATAACAAAAATGGAAGGATTCACCTGCGGGAAAATGTAGGCAGTGTACCCTTCAGGCCTAATCATAGGAGGTCTTACCAGAATAACGGCAAATTCAAATTCCACCATGGGTTATGCAGATGACCCTCTCAAAGAAATACAGGAAGGTTCATATGCTGTAGCCACTTTGCATGCCATTACTCTCTCCAAAACCTGGCACAACTTGCATCTTTCAGATATTTAGGAAAACTATTGTACTGCAGCTTCAACCCTTCTCTCACTACATTCAATTTTCTTGCATCAGTAACTGTGTTATCTTGTATAAACCAGGAAGCAGACATTGTCCTTGCCATCTTTTTTTTTTTCTCTCGTGGCTGGGGTACACATGAAAAAAGCAGCATATTTCCCTCATCAAAGAAAAATAAATGCATGAAACAAAAGGCTATAGAAGCATGAAGAAGAGTCAGGGAGGACTGGGCGTGTGATTCCATACTGGCCCAAATACAATATTGTGCCTCCCAGGAATAATTTAGCCTTATAGCTAGACATGATTAATATAGAGAATACAGATACATTTTTGTCTAGTCTCTAAACCCACTCCTTATTAAGGAGAAAAAGCAAACAAATAAATCTTTTAAACTAATAATCCACTCATATTAATATGCAAAAGATTGTCGCTGAACTCTATTGTCAGTCAATTTGCAATGGGATTTCTTTTCTTCTTGCACTGCTGCTGGTAAATTTTACTGACAATGAGAATCCAGACCTACCAAAGGCAGAAATGATAAAGACACTGGATATAGAAATGAATGGCTGGAAAATTAACACCTCTAGCTCTTGTTGGAGAGAGTAATGCCTTTAGTTCCTCCAGTGTTATCCATTAGGTGAGCTGAATTCTTAGACTTAAAAAGAGGTGCCAGTAAGTCAGCTCTGAGGATCATCTCCAAAGCTAACTGCATGTGGTATGGATTCTTTGAGTGCCCCATTTTCTTTTTAAATAACTGTATAATCTTTTCTATTTTCAGCTGGGATCTCCCTGGTTTAACAGCTAAAGCTCTCCTGACTTACATCTCGACTTTACTTAATGCTCTTGAATACATTACCATAACGGGGAAAAAATAAAATTCTGATTTGATATTTTATTCATTGAAAACCTTTGGGAGTGCTGCAGCAGAAGTGGAAAGAGATTTCTTTCTTTCAAGCCTTAATAAGTTGCCGTGTAATGATCTCATCACATATGGGTATATGGCAGGAACTGGGCTTGTGGAAAGAGGATTTGGCTTTCTTTCATAGTGAATTCCCCTGATAAACTCTCTCTCACAGCCACCTGGTTGTGATATCCTTCATTCTAGCCAAGGAACGCTGGATGGGACTTCCTTTGGCGTCACACATGCTTGTCCTCCATTGACCAGTTGGATGGCACAGCATGGAAAGGTACATCGTCTTCATTTGGGGATCAATTGTGCAACCTTATCACTGGTTCCAAGTGGGGTTGTTCAAATAATGGTTCTGGCTGTCAAGCTAAGAAATGAGGGGACAATATGTTGATCCAAATCAAAATGAAAGTACTTTGGTGTTCATCATCAAAAAAGAAAAAGAAAAGCACGCAAGCAGGCAAAGAACACCTCCTCCCTCCCCCCCCCGAAGAAAATATTGTGTCATGACTTTGGACATTTTCTGCAAAAGGAAAATAGTGGAAATGTAGGAATAGACTTTTTTAACTCATCATAAAATAGGGCTGGTAAGTGAAGTCCTAAAAAAAAGGACTTGGAGAAGTCACCCAGGATGAGGAAAACCCAGGTTTAAATCTCTTCTCTCTCTAAGAGGATTTGAGCCTACATCTCTCAGGATGTACCCAACCACCATGCGGTAGCGTGTACTGGAGTGTCCTTACCTCCGTCTCCTACTGGGGATATTTTGCTTTGTACAGACTAATTGAATATTCACTAAGCCAGAAAACATGAATGAAAGGAATCTACAACCTGGTGCATAGAGAGTTCGTCTGTGAGATTAAGAGACTAATGTCCAAATTTACTCCCTACGTGATTCAAAGCAAGGATCTGTACCATAATTTTCCATCATATGCCTATCCTATCCATGAGGCCATGGGTTATAATGAACCTAAGTCTTCCACATTGTGGGTACATTCAGACCCCCTGGTCTATTGGTAAAAGTAAAACTCCATGTGAAAATCTATATATGATTGAAATAAAATAAATGAATACAGATAATTGTTTGATAATATTGACTTGAATTTACAAATAAGGATTTGGCTAAATCCTCATTTTTTTTCCAAATATATATATATATATATATATATTTCGGGGGAGGGAGAGGGGAGGAGAGAGAATTTCGCCCATTTCTACTCCCCAAATTTGTTGGGCCAGAAAATAAATATCTGCTTGGGGCAATCTTACCAACATCTGTTGTGCTGGGAACTTGTACTTTGAATATTGCACCTTGATATTATATCTCATGTGCTTTGCCTCTCTTTGCCATCTTCTTTTTTTTCCTGTGGACTTCAAGAAGCCTCCGAAATTGTGTCTTTCTCACTTTTCCTGTAGCAAAATAATGATGATGCAATCCACTTTTACAAAAGCTTAAGAGATGTGTGGAAAATGCAATTGTAGTAGAGGCTAATATCAGGTGGCAGCATAAACCATGATCAGTGTGTCAGCTGAAGTGATGGAAGTAATTGGTGGTAATGGATAATTGGGTTCCCGGTGATTAAATTTCTCCCAAAAAGGCTCTTAAGAGATTCTCTATTTTCCACAAGAGTTGTCTACCCTTTGAGCTCTTTAGTTCCCTCTGTATTTTTTATCTCATAATTGAAGAGTCTTTGCAGCATCAGTAAATTTTAATAAAATAACACATAGGGTATGCTCAGTAATGGTCTCCCAAATGCTGTTTCTGCCCCTAAGACCCCTTGAACATGCAAACAGTATGCAATGGGTGACTTAAAGCAATGGAAAACAGCAAGAAGTCAAGAGGCATTACCAGAGACAGCAACAACTCCATTGCTTCATGTTCAACTGTGGTATCAAAGGTTGTGGCAGGCTTAATTTGATGCTTAATTAAAATAATCTCACCCAGGTTTTACCCATGACAGTAAGAGCAATGTAGCATGAGTGCTAATTCTAATTGAATTTTCAAGCTTATAAAGTTGAAAGAGAAGTGAAATATGTAGAGACTTTCATTGGCTCTTGTTAAAGGAGTGACCTTGCCTTGGAGGATTCATTTTTATGCAAGGGAGGATCAATTCAGCTCGTACTGGTGTCCCTCTGTCAGGACTTGGGTTGCTTTTTTTTTTTTTGAGGCACAGGCATTAGAACCAAATTAAACCCATGCTAAATCATGCTAATGATACATTAAATTAATCATCTGTTCCAAGGGAGGCATCCTGAATGTAGGCTAAGACCCAACAGTAATATCAAGGAATGTATTTATACTTCAGAAAAAAAAAAGCAAGATTCAGATGAAAGCATTGCATGTTGTCCCAAGAGGACTGTCAGCCCCTATCTTCCGGATATCAACATGGCG